GGGGGATGAAAAGGCGCACAACCAAGCGCTTGCGAATTTCTTTGCAGGCTTGGTCAAGAAACCTGGAACTAGTCCGCGTGGAAGTCCGTCGGCTTGAATTCCGACGAGTTGAGTTAAGCGCCCTTTTAATTGTACTTTTATCGTTCCCGTTCAGTACATACTCCAAGTATCGAGGATATCGGCTTGGCGACGCTCTTTGTTTTCGATACCAGAATAACCTGTTACGGTGGATTAGGAGTCTTAGAGTTGGGCGACATATCTGACTAGCACATATTCCCTTTGTCTATCTGCGAAGCTACATCTCATCCAACTGAATGATATCATAAGATGGCCACCACCACCGATTACTGTTGGTCTGCGAGGTGCGCGTCTTGTGATGGCTAGCCGCAAAGAAATTGGTAGCAATGTCTTCCGACTTTTTTTTTTTCAAGCTTATGATACGTCGCATACTTTCATGAACATAAGGCTGAGCCGGAATTTCAAAATACGTCGCAGCATTCTTCAAAATAAAGCTGTGCAAGCAACCGAACTTTTCAGAAGATTGATAGTAATACATTCACAAGTATATAAATCGTTTCACCAATTCTCCCAAACCGCATCCGGCATGACCGTCCTCATGATCTCCCAATGGGTAATTGTACCACGATCCTGGTACTTATGGAGACGGCCCGTTTCCTTCGCAACCAGAACACGCTTTCCGCCCTTCTCGATCTTGTCGAATTGGACTGGGTCAACCTCGTGCTTGGGCACAAGGTAGTTTTGACGAGACCTGCTTCCCAGGAAATCGGCCTTGACTGGGTCCCTGAAGCGAAGGGACGTGTTGCTTTTCTTGCAAAAGATCACCATGTTGGTGAAATCGAATTTGGCATCTGCGGCTGCGTCTTCGCGGAAGATTCGGCACGACGGGAAGACTGCCTTGATTGTTCGCACAGTGAGTGCAGCTGGGTAAAGTGAAATATCGCCGGCGTAGTTCTGTAGATATTATCAGTGGATGAGGTGACGGAGTTGAGTAGGCGAGGGGAGGGTCTTACAATGGCAATAACACCATCGTCTTTCAATAGGTCATATAGACCCTTGATGAACTCGATTGTGAAGAGCTCGACTGGCTCCGCCCCGCCCGTGAAGACATCGTGGACAATGTAGTCATATTGAGCAGGGTTGGGGGATTCCTGGGCACGCTTCACAAACACTGTAGCATCTTCAATAGCTGCAATGTGATTGGAGGGTAGGTGGAAGTATTCCGCGGCGAATTTATGCACAACCGGATCAATCTCCACGATTGTGGTCTCGATGCCGTGCGTAATCAAGGCAGCGGGGGTGGTGCCTACCCCGAGTCCACTAAAAGGTTCAGTTAGCTGACTGCCTTGCCTCCACAAATTTGACGTCGTGATATGGTTGCTTACATGACGAGAGCCTTGCTGTTGGCATCCACGCGCGCTTCGCCGTGGTCGGTTTCGATCAAACGGATGGCTTCGAGCATAGCAAACACAGCATAGATGGGGTCCTTGACCTCGGGATGGTAATTGCGCGGCATCTTTGTCCATTGACCGCCAAGGAGACTATGATCGCACCGCATCACTCGGAAGCCATCTTCCAAGTTCTCCAGAACAGATATGTACCCTGTGGAAGAATCCTGTCTAGCGAGAAGTTCATAACCTTCCACTTTAATAGCAGCGTTCAAAGCGGCAGTTGTGCGGCTGAAGGGCATGTGCACATTAGACGTGAGAGAGAAGAGGATAGATGGAACAGCTAATACCAGCCATTTGGATGGGATGGTAGCCGAATACAAGCTCGCAATCAGCAATTGAAGGCCGCCACGGCTCAGAAAGAAGGTCAAGCCAATGAACTTCGAGATAAACGCTTTTGAGAAATTTTCTCCTGCGGAGTAGATAACATAGGATCCGAGAAGGGGAATATGCTCTGTCATAAGGTCTCCATGCTGGCTCATGTTCAGGCCCGCCTGCAGTAGTTTCCCGGCACAGGCCACAGAAACCAGTACCAGAGGGTAAAAGGTAAATATATCAATAATTAATGGGCCGGTTGGATTCCCGAAAGATGAGCTCTGGTGAAACATGAAATACTGGATGGTCGGCACCCAGAATGCGAGAACGGGGACCAAATATACTGCTCTGCGACCAGAGAGCCGATGGATCACGTCCTTCAAGAACCAGCCAGCAGCGGCAGCGACAGCTACTCCATACCCGTGAAAAATATGGGACGGTGCAGAGCCAAAAACCGGTGACAGTGTCAAGAGAAAGACAGGGGAATAGAAAGCAGTGAGGAACAGCAATGCCACACCTGGCAGAAGCTTCTCAAGCTTGACACGCTGGAGCATTCCTCCGGGAGAAGACATGATGTCCAGCTTTCGACAACGTGTCTGTTTCGGCTCTGTAACCAACTGTCGAAGTAATCAGCTGCGGCTAGTCTGAAAGGCTTCAATGTAAGGGCCTGGCTATTTCAATATCATAGCATCGCGCTCGACCTCGAACAGTAAAGGATGTGAACAAGACACTGATAGGAGATGGCAGCCCAAAAGGAAAAGAAGAGGGCCAGTGTAAGGATCAGAATGGCAAATATGAAACAAATAGGAGTAGATAGCTCTTACATGACCTCTTTTCAGATAGAATGCCGAATATCCATCGTCTGGCTGTCTGTGGACTGTTATTCGCTGCTGGACTGATGGCGGCGGAGACGAAGTGAATTTGCCCGCCCGCAGCATTCCGCAGTGCTTCTTGGGAATTACTCGAACTGGTTAGTCTCAAAACAGCTGCTGGCGGTTCTTCTGGCTCTTCAACAGCCACTTCATCATCTTGCTTTCTCTCTGCTAACCATATGTTATTTCACGCTTATTGGTTTATGTGCAGACATGCCTCATTTCCCCAAGGGTACTGGATTCGACATGAAGTCAGACGGCGCACAGCGGAACGTCAAGTCCAGCTCAGTGCAACCGTCCCCTGCCATGAGAGTGAAAAACCGTCGCAAGCGCTATCTGGACATGCATCCGGAGTACTTCTCCGCTGATCTCGAGCTCGCCGGTCCGCTTGCTCTATCCTCGTTTTGCTTAACAGACTGATGGCTTCTTTGGATAAGAGGCCTCATAAGCTAATATTCAGCTCCTGTAGACCCGTTGCTATACGATCGACTAATCCGCCGGTTCCAAACACCTGCAGAAAGAGAAGCCGAAGGGAGAGCGAAAGGGTTTTCCGGTATTCTTCAAGCGGACTTGCAACGCTCGGAGGCCAAGCTTGATGCTCTCAATAATCCCAACCCCCATGCGATGTTCAGCTATAGTCGTGGTCCAAGCGGGGAGATCATTGCGGAGGACGCTGACGAGATACCCACAAGCAAAGAGGAAGCTGAAAAGCTTTGGCGCTGGGAAATGACGATGCGTTTTTTGAAAGGAGAAGACTGCGACTTTGACTACACGCAAGTTGACGAGAATGATGAATACGATGACTGGACTGAGGAGCAGGAGCGTTACTTTGACGATGAAGAGCCTGAATGGATAGTTGAGGAGACTGACGATGGGAATATCAAGTCGCACTTGCAGGGAGAGACAGGCATACAGGATTTTTGAACGGTTAATGGCCGTGAGTTACCGTCTCTGACAATGAAGTTCGAACAGTCGGGCGGGTTTTCGATCAATCCAGGAGCGGAAATCTCCAGGCTTAGTGACTCCCACATCCGTGTGCCACTCGCAGGTTCGCGCAAGGCTGGCACTCAGCCATTCAAGTTGGAAGCAATGGAACGCACCTCCAGCAGTTTGCAGTTTCTCGTATCGGTGCCGCCGGAGCTTCTGACAGCGGTGACAGCCAGGAAAGCGGCCTCTGAATGCATGGCATGGGTATTCTATTCCCGCGAAATGCTATAATCGCATTTAAGGGCTTGCTGTGGGTGGTCAATACTTGGAGTTGGCCAGTTGGAAGAACGCTGAAACTTTCTTACCTACCCATAGGCTCACTCGGTAAGGCCAGCGGATGGTTGATTGCTTGCTTAGTATGAACACCTCAATTCACTGGACTTTGATCGTGCTCTGATCATTGGACGAGACTCGTTGTCTCGGCAAAGATCATGCACGGCGCCTTACCCTTCACTGACGCCAACCTACCAACTCCATGCTTCATCGAGTCAGGTAGCAAGACATCCGATTTATGCACTTCCTAAAACGCGATGGATATTGCGCTATGTTCACACATTCTGCCAATATATGCCGAATAGTCAGTCATGCGTCTTTGACGAGGAAATGCGAGCATAATGTCGTGATGTCGTGCCTTAGGCCAGCAATATGACTCCCAAGTGTCGGTGCAATGATGAGATAACATCCTCGAGTCGGCGGCACAACGTCGCCCACCCTTACCTCTTCCATCTTACTCTTTTCCTCTCCTTCCTCACCTCTTTATCTCTCGCAGTTACCTTTGCGCTTTCCTGATCATTCAAAAAACAAGACTTTGCTACATTATACTTTAATACATTTATTCAACTAATTCACTTATCAGTCTGCTTCTGTTTGTTCATTTTCTTGAGCAACTACAGTACAAAACATGACTCTGTCTGAGTGTTCCTCGCCTTCTGGTAGAGGAGTGATGCAAGGGCATGAACCAGGCTATTATTACCGCTTCTGTTCTGAAGAGTCAAGTCCACACATCATAGCAGGGGGTATCCATACTGGATGCTCTGAACGTAGCACCGAAATAGACAGCTTGAATTGCAGTCTTTGGGCATATAAGAGATCTGACGACGTGCCATGCTACTCGAATGAGGCCAGACCCTCGAGGAAGGAAAGAAGCGCCTTGGCCCTCGATACATTGAAGACTGCGAAGACGGGGACCACAGCCTCGACATCACCTCAGTTGGTTTTCAGCTGTCCCCAGCACCATTCATCATCTTCTTCATTTAGCAATCCGGCTCCCAAACAAGCGTCGCTCAACCTCGCATCTATCTCACTCAGAGGTCTATTTCATCGTTTAGGAACTAAAGTTGATGATGTACACCAGTCGGCTATGCAGTCTGCCCTCGACATCTCCACTAAGAACGACGCCAATAGTATGTAAAACCGTCACCTGGCGAATTCGTGCGGCCGCTTGAGATTATGTCTTGCAAATATCTAACTTATCTTCATCATAGGCATCAACGAACAGTGCGAGTCATCATCTTCGGGGTTAGTTAAGGAATCAGGTCGTCGCCTTGAATCTCGGTCTGGCAGTTCTCTGATTCTCGCGAAATCTCGCACATGGGGCACAATCCCTGATCACTTCGAGATACCAGGCTTTTCGATTCCAGTGGACGGGAAAGGCAAGTCTCCGCTTGCAGATGCAACTCCTCCCGAGGTTTTCACAGTTGATAGCTGCAAACTTGGTGACGAATTTGTCGACACCAGCATCATTCCTGGCTTGCGGGGCAAGGTCATTGGTAAAGGTGTCACGGCTACTGTCAAACTGATGCACGGGAAAGGACCCGGAAAACCGCACTATTATGCGGTGAAGGAATTCCGCAGAAGTCGTAAAGAGAGCCTGCAAGCTTACGACAGAAAGATCAAACTCGAGTTCAGCATCGCCAAGAGCTTGCATCATCCTAATATCGTGGAGACTGTTCGACTCTGCTCCCACGCAGGCCGTTGGTCTCATGTTATGGAATACTGCAGTCAAGGGGACTTGTTTACAATCGTGCAACAACGATATCTTTCGTTCGAAAGTGAACTGTGTCTGTTCAAACAACTCTTCCAAGGTGTCGCATATTTACATAGTATTGGGATTGCGCACCGCGATATCAAACTAGAAAATTTGCTCTTGACAGCAGACAGTCATCTAAAGATCACCGACTTCGGATGCGCCAAAGTCTTCAGTGAGGTCCACCAAGATTTGCAGTCATATGACGGAGGACGTGCGGAAGTCTTTGGTAAGATTCGCAAATGTCGCCCAGGTGTTTGTGGCAGCCTGCCATATATTGCACCAGAAGTTCTGGCGGAAGACCGTAAGATCCCTTTGCTACTTTATGTTATGGTCTCCTAACCGTGGTTCGATCCCCAGGAAGCTACGACCCACGCTTGCTTGACATATGGTCTTGTGCCATCGTCTGCCTTGCCATGCTCCACTGCGGTACGCCATGGGCAGCCGCAGAAGAAAAGGACGCCGGGTATTCTCGCTATCTCAAATGGTGGGAAGAGTTCTTGAGAAGCGAGCCGGATGGAATTATCACAGGGGATGTATATCCTAAAATCGGGAAATTCTTCTCGGAACTTCGCACAATACCTCTTCGGCGTCTCATCCTACAGATGCTCCATCCTATCCCGGAGAGAAGGGCTACCATCTGCGATGTGATGAACGATCGCTGGGTCAAGAGGATTGAATGTTGTTGCCCCGAACCAGGCAAGCCGTCTAATTGCTTTGAGGAAGTTGACGGCATAGTTTATCCAAAGGTTCACAATCATCTGCCCCCAGCGAAGAAAGGCTTCTTCCAGCACTATATCTAGCGCGATGCTTGCGTGTGTTATTCGAGCATCTTTCTGCAGACTGTTCAGTCATCCTCTCGCGGTTGTACGTGTAACTGATTCGAATATTGTCTTGGTATTGACACTGCTTCGCCTGCATATAATGGCTGCAATTTTGAGAATGGCTACTTGCTTTGTCTCGGTACAGAGAAATTGCTATTGTTGGATTTTAAGCATTATTTCAAGATTTCTGTAAGGATATCCAGATTATTCGAGCTCTAGTCAGGACAGTCCTTATGATGGTAAAGATGACTGAGGAATGGCAAAGAATATGTTCAATGCGACAAATACGCTCCTGTAAGTCCTCTATTGGAAAACGATCGTTATCACTCAAAAGGTTGTAGAATAACCTCGGTTCCTCTTCAGCATCTAATTAGCATTGCTCTGCTCTTTCAAAATCCTGATGGCAGTCTCCTTCAGCTTAAACTTCTGAATTTTGCCGCTCGCAGTCTTGGGAAAAGAGTCGGAATGTGAAAGGAAAAACACATATTTCGGAACTATTAGCAGGATAATTCTGGTTAGCATATCGAGGTATTGTAGGATGCCTTGCCACTAGGTGAAAAAGGCAGGAGATGCTTACCGAGGTGGTTACTCAATCGCTCGCGAACCCACTCTTTGATCTTGTCCTCGGTCACTGTCCTGCGATCCTGCTCCTTGCAAATGATGAAAGCAGTCACCACCTCGCCGTATCTCTCGTCTGGAACACCAACGACGGACACATCGGCCACGCCGGGGCAGGTAAGGAGACAGTTCTCGATCTCTAGAGGGTGAATGTTCTCGCCTCCTCGGATGATGAGATCTTTGATACGGCCCGTGATCGTGATGTAGCCATCCGGTGACATGGAGGCTTCGTCGCCAGTCTACGGTCCTCGGTCAGACGCCCTGCTACCTTACGGTGCCTAAAGTCTAGGAACGCCACTTGGGGAGGGGTGGCTTACATGCATCCAGATCTTCCCTTCTTGGTCTGCGATCATCACTTCGGCGGTCCTGTGTGGATCGCCCCAGTACTCCTTCATCAGTAAGTATCCGGACACAGCCAGCTCGCCCCGGGTGTTGACGGGGAGGATCTTGCTTCGATCTGCTGGGTCCACGACCTTGGCTTCAACGTGAGGCATCAGTCTACCAACAGTACTAGTCCGTTTGTCTAGCGGGTCGTCGGTTGCTGTCATGGCCGAGACGGGGCTAGTTTCTGTCATGCCGTAGCAGATGGTCAATTCTGTGAGATTAAGGACCTCATGCAGCTTCTTCATAAGCGCTTCTGGAATACTGCTACCAGCGGCAATGCCAGTCCGGAGAAACTCAAACCCTTTGTGTTCAACTTCGCCGTCCTGAAGCAGGCCAAGCTCTTCAAGGAACATGGTAGGCACACCATATAGGGCAGTACATTTTTCCTCCTGCACGGCTTTCAGAGCGGCACGGGCGTTAAAGGATTCCGTGGGAAATACAATGGCGGAGCCGTGAGTAGCGGTTGCCATGTAGCCCAGAATACATCCGAAGCAGTGAAACAAAGGTGGAGGACAGCATACGATGTCCTTTGCGGTTAAACGCATTCGATCGCCAATTTGAGAACCATTGTTCAAGATTGAGCGGTGGCTGAGGCATGCCGCTTTGGGCATGGCGGTGGTGCCTGATGTGAACTGGATGTTCACTACATCGTTAGGCGAGAGGTGCTGAGGAGGCAATGGATTCGCATCAGCGATGTTGTCGGATATGACCGACGTGAAAGGCGTCAGGCTTCTGTAGTCGGACCAATTGACTCTGCCGGAAGAGTTGTCAACAAAAATGACGTTCTTCAGTGAAGGCACCACTGCGGACTCTATTTTTCCTGTATGGAGGTCCTGAACAAGGTGCTTGAGTAGTGGGACATTGCTCCGGGGGTCTTTCCGCGGTAAGTTGGACTCGGCACTGATGATCAAATGGGCGGCTCCAAGGTGACTTAACGCCGAGATGACTTGAGTTGCATTGAAAGAAGGATTAAGCGGTACCTGAGAGGCGTGGTTCAGTGGACAATTGTTCATCTGAATCGGCCATTCATGTTGGAACATACCAGGATGGCTCCGAGTTTGAACAATGCATAGGTCGCCTGCAAGATTCAAATGTGATTAATATCCAGTAAAACAAACGCAGCTCATGAGAAGTGTCTAGAGGACAGAGGACATACGATGGCGTACTCCGAGGAATTTCCAAGCATGACGCCGACACGCTCCCCTTTCCGCACACCCACAGATTCCAATCCCCGCGCAAGGGCATTACTTTTGGCATCGAGTGAGGCGTAGGTCAATCTGTGATTTTGATGCTTTGATATGACACTTTCAATGTACAGAGTCAGCCATGTTGCTCGAGTCTAGCATAATTGTCGTGCAAATTCAAGTTCACGTACGCTTCCCTGTCGCCATATTGGCTGACAATACTGGCGAAATGGTCTCCAACAGTAGAGTCAATCAAAGGTGGCTTGATATCGAGGTAATGTCAGCCTGCTTCAGATAGGTACTATTAATACCATAATGCGTACTCACATCTCTTGGTCCACAAGCATAGCTCTGAGTGAGCAACCCTCGTCGTGCGGAAGGCACATTCTGGATAGCCCTCAAGGAGAAGCCAATCCCCCAGTTTTGACTAGGGAGAATCCCCACGCGACGCACGGTAAACATGCGCATGCTATCAATAGTTCATAGCACTCGCGAGCAGAGACGAGTATGGAATCCGATGCCAGAGTGAATCGCGCCCTCAGCTGTCCTGTACACGACCCCTTCCTCCGGGTCTGTCTTGAGGGATCGCAAGATACTTCTCTATTCTGCTCACTTCGATTGAAAGACTCCACCTCAAGAATTCAAAAGGATACTAACAAGCAATACTGATTCATTTGAATCATGCAAGGATTGAGAAGTGTGCCTGGCTGTTTGGTTTCATAGTGGTTGAGGCTCCCTTAATGCTTCCCCCGCACGTGCCGGCTGCAGCAAATGCGGGGTTGATGAGAGGTCACTATTCCCGAGGAAAGCATCAACCTATTGTTGACAACTAGTGAACCACTTGGTACTCCGTGTCGAGTAGACTAGTTTACCTCACTAGACTTAGACTATTTGAAGGCTTTGAGATCTCACTTAGTGGAGTCCGAGGCTAGCCGAAGCAGTACTCCGTAAAAAAAAGGCAAATAAATAAACACCAGACCCACAACTAGATCATTACAATACCTCTGAGTAGCAGCTCGATTTAACCGAATAATAGTGGTGCTTGAATATTAATCCCAACAGCACAAACATGACAAGTGCCGTAAAGTACAGAATCAATGGACTAACGAGAAAAGTCGATGAGAATTCAAGCCTCAGTCTCCTCTTCTGTGGCATCCTGCGAGCGACAACCAGGCTCCCCGCAAAGACACTTCCTATTCTTCCAGTAGCCTTTGCCATAATCAATAGTAATCTCCTCGAAAATGTCAATATCCCTAACTGCCTGGACAGCAACTATGGTTTTTTTGCCAACAGTCATCTTGAGAAACGTTGTCGACGGCTTGCAAGAGTGATTGAGGTACCGAGTCCAATTACCGTACCGTTTTGCCGAGATCAAAGCAACTGGATGACCTTCAACCATCTTGGATTCGTGCAGCAGAGCGTATACACGATCATCCTTGTAGTCTACAGGCCGAAGCTCCCCGACATACTCGTCAAGGATGCCTCCCTTCTTGAATCTGGCCAGAGCCCGCACTCCAATTCCTTTATGAGGGTAGTTAACAAGTTCAACCAAACACGTTGCAAGAGTTGGGCGAGATATCTTGCAATTGCATTCGCGCTCTGCATAACAGAGATCGCAAGGTCCGTCGCGATCGGGAACGCGAATCGTGGGGTCTTTCTTGTCTTTGAAGTAGCTGGGATTGAATATATTCCCTTGGTCGATGTTGATCTGGTTGTGTCCTTCGTACAGAGGCCTTCGAAGAGAGCCATTTGCAATGATTATATGATGAAAGTGCTCCTGAGCCAGATCGAGCCTCGGAATCAGTGCTTGTTGGAGCCCCGGTATCTGTTTGTCCGCATGTTTCAATAGCTGGCCTTGCCAGTCCAAGCCTCGCGACTGCGCAAAGGCGTCAATGCTGGTTCGGTTTTCCCTGATCTTGAGCATCAAAACTGCCCAGACCACTTGATCTTCTGTATAAAGTGCCAACCGGAAGGCTTCTGAGAGTGCACATATGGCCAATATCTTCCAACTAAGTTGTCGAATGAATTGGCCAACACGATGTGCTTCCTGCTTGGATGTGTAAGTCCAATCGTGACCGCTTGTCTGGCCTACCTTCGCAAGCATTTCCTGGCGAATAGCTCTGTCTAATAGCCAGGTTGCTTCTTGATGTTGAGTTTTGTAGAAATGTAGGTCCGGAAAGCGTCTAATATGGTTCTGCATGAGGTATTTGCGGAGCCAGTAGAGTTGATGGAAGTCGTAGTACATTGCAGCCAGAATGTCGTGAACCAGCTCCTTCACACGCATTACACGCAATCTTGCCATCAGCTCGTCATCTGTATCTGTAGCTGGAACGTCTTTCTCAGGAACCCCTTCTTCATTCCGAGGAAGCTGGAATCGTACTCTCTTGAACGTCATGGGCTCCGGTCGTTCTGTCTGATCCTCCACATAGTCGTCGGGCGCTCGTCTCTTCTCTGCCATTGTGTCTTCTTGCTTACCTGAAGCCTTGAGATTGAAACCGATGAAATATTGCAGAAAGAGGATGAGGTTTGATGTTGTTGACTGCCAGCTGTTGGATTCAGTATCAACAACCAAGATGTTGAGCGAGCGTTGAGGGAGAAACCACAAGGGATTAAATGTCATCTCCCATGGTGCATAATATTGCAAGTAAAATAAAAGATTGAATATGATCCTTGGAATGGTGGCATTTGAAACATCTTTCATTCACATAGTTCTTTGAGTACCCTTCACATCCATAAGGACAGTGAAAAGTATCATCCTTTGTTCCTATTCTTATCATCGCGTCCAATCTAGGTTCTATGGATTTTCCCGAAATTGAGTGGTTCTTGACCGTTTCTTTCATTTTACTGGAATTTTCCTTGTTTCTTGATGCGAAAAAGTTAGCTGTGTGAATGTGATTTCTCGTAGATCCAGGCTACCTCAAGATGGCAATGGAAGTGGGCTTGGCCGACGGATGTCATGTGGTGGGGAAGCTTAACTGGAGACATCCAAACAGACAACTCCCCACTTACTGACATAGCTCCTTGATTGAGCCCTCGTTCTTTTCTGATCTCATTGCTCTTTACTAGACTCTGGTTGCCCTCATCGCCAATTTTTCGTCTGCAATCCTCTGCAGTTTCTGTGTGCGAGCTACGGCATGGCCTCCGAACCGTCAGAGGAAGCTATAACGAACTTTGTGAACTTCACAAGCACGTCGCGGGAGCATGCAATACGATTTCTGAAGGTAAGCAGATATCATAAGCCACCCTTCTATACTTTGCACGCTGACATCAGACACTCTGCAGGCCAACGACCTTAACTCGAATAAAGCTATCAACGCATACTTTGAAGATCCGACTCCGCCCCAATTAGAGGTGACTCTTGGAGATGATTGAGCTTTTACGAGACTGAGACTGACCGCGGACTTGCTACGCTCTAGCCGAGTAGTTTTCAACATGACGAGAGAGTACCCTGTATGTCCATACCAACGCCCGCCGGATACTAGCATAGCGGCTCCGTTAACAGTCCTGCCTCGCAGCCTTCCAGATTGAACAGTCAGACCCTGTTGTCGGAACCTCCTCTGGCATTCCTCCGTCACGCCCCCCGTCGATGTCGAATTTGAATGAACAAGCACAGGTCACGCAGTATCAGGGGCATAAAACGGGACCTGCTCACAGTGCTGCAGGTAGGGTGCTTCATTAAGGATGGCTACGCCGCTTCGCTGACATGGTAAATTTTCAGGTGTAGCGGAGGCAACAGGTATGACACTTGCTGAACAGGAGGAGCGTGAACTTCAGGAAGCAGTGGCAATGTCATTGAACCAGAACTTGGGGCAGCAGGAGATGGGAATCACCAGCTTAAATCAATCGAATTTCGGCAAAGCCACGCGGGATCACTACGATGAAGGCGCATGGGCAATGACTCTTTTCAATTCCAGTGCGCAAGAGATCATCATCAGCCCGGACCCCGCAGACCGCAGAAGAGTAGCAGATGAACCGGCGTTCCTTCGCCCATCCCAGGATAATCTGTACCTGGGCGGGCTGTTGACTATCCTGCATTCAATCCCTTTGGCGCGAGAGGCTCTTCTTCTACGAAACAAGGTGCTCCCGAAGTACGGTCATGATCCGCAGTGGTGGAATGGTCAGCCGATCAATTTGCCTAAGATAGTTACAATGCAAGATGCGCAAGACGGTGACACGGCTTGGGACGACATCCTTTACGAAACTCAAAGACTTGTTGCTTTTCTAGATGCGACAAACCGCGCATTTGGTAGCGTCGATGCTCTTTCGAGCTTGAAAAGCGTGGTATCTTATGACTCTGAAAGTGGTATCAGTCAATTTTTGGAGAAATGGCAGGATGCCGCCGTCAGAGCCGATCCGGGAAACCAATTGGCAACAGTGTTCTCGTCAAACGCATTCAAGCGTCCTCTTTCGGTGTATGACACGCCAATCCAAAAAGAGTTCTTCATCCTTGACCCATTTGTGGAGCCCGATCATGGCCAAACTCTCTACGATGTGCTAGATCGGACCATCTGGTCCGACAGACCAGGGGAAGAGCTAGATGATGTGTGGCTGGAACATGTGGCTGAAGTTTTGATGATCAAATTGGATAGCTCCGACTCGGCGAAATCTGTGGATGTTAAGATACCGGCGGTCTTCTACCCGGATCGGTACCTCGCCACTTGCAAGGACCTGGCGCGTGATTTTCGTGCGCGACGGCTTCAAGTTTACGAAGATATTAACAAGTTAGAAACATTGATGAATCGCTTCTCTGTCTCAAAATCGGTCTTTTATAGAGGGCTTGGATCTAGGGAGATACTCGAGAAAGCGGCCGCTGCTGCTTCTTTCACTTTGCCCAAAAGTCTTGCCAATGGAGTAGGTGACTTGACTTTGACACCGGAAGCAGCAAATGCCGAGGCGCAAAGATTGGCCGGAGAGTTGAGAGATCTCTCAAGCAAAATCGAAGACAAGTTGAAAGGTAAGTTTACAAGTTTTTTTGTCATTGCTTAAGCTGACAACGTACAATACAGAATTGGAGAACAGGAAACAGAAGGTTGCCGAAACGCTTCGAAACTACTCCAAATTCCTCACTGAACCTTCGGAATCACCTACAGAACCACCACAACATCGGTACACTTTGCGCGGCGTGTGTACTGAGCCACATATAACCTATGTCCTCAAACCCGTCACATCCCACAACTTTGAGCAAGCGACAGATCTACAGCCTAGCGCAGGCGATCAGTGGCAATGGTGGCGAATAAGCTTCTCTACTGACGATGCAAAGGCCCGACAGGCAGAGAGCAATCGAGAGGGCAAGGCTGCAGCAAGCACTGCCGATATCGTCGGGTATACTGCGCGCAAAGTTCGAGAAATCGAAGTGCTTCACGCTGCTCGCGAAGAGTCCAAAAATGTCCTTCTCGTTTATGCCAATTCTAACGCGATGAGCGTTCAGGCTAATCCGCTACCGGCCGAACTTCAAGTAAGGCAACCCTAATGATGGTGTGTGGAATCTTCGGCTGACCAGAGTGTAGGCCTTTGTGGATGCGGATAATCACGCATTCGACGCGGAATTTGACGATGCAGCCGCTGGAGATCCCATGGAGGAGCAAATTTCAAATGCAAACACTATCTCTGGTGAAGGCGAGTCTCCGTCTCGACTCGAGGAACAAGGCCCCCAACTGGCAACTACCGATCCGTCAGCCAGTAGAAAAGTGAATGTATTTGACTATGAGATTCCGTCTTTCGATAATGAGATGGAATCTGGGCAGGAGATGCAGGAAAGGGGCAGACCGGGTATACTGAGCGCAGCTGGGGCTGTGCAACCATCCCGAACTATGGACTCAACATAGATGAGAGCAAGAGGTTGAACGATTAAAGCGCACGCCTGAAAGGAGAAGGTTGCTCTGCATGCGATAGACTATTTCAACTATAACGAATCATGACTGATGAAACAGATCTACTTGGTCAAGAAATCTAGGAGTCAATCCATGGTATTGTTACAACACAGTGCTATGTTCAGTCGAAGTGGTGTGAACTGACAGTCCTACAAAACCTTTTTCTTCGGCCCGGAGTCAACTAACACGACTTGTGCTGCACACCTGCAGCTTCAAAGGCCTGCGCAAGTTCCTTTCAAGTTGAGTAACGCACGAAGGCTCATAGTGCATTGGAACAAGGACATCAGATTTCACCGCCTGCAGCAGCCTGGCACTGGACTCGCCGTCCATAGTTATGGGCTGTGGCCCAGTCGGCAGTGGCACAACAGCGAAAGCAAATATATCTTTCCTCCCGCGGTTAGCGTGGTGGTTTCCCAAGACCTCATGCCCCTTGACACCAGGGTGACTCGCCAGATTCTCCGCACCGTGAACTGTGGTCAAGACTTTGCGGCGGTGAGGACGTCTCGGCCCAACTGGTCGAAGTTATGTGGGTGGTCTTTCCTCGTGGCTGAGCTGGATGGCGTCGATTGGCGGAGGCGGAAGCTTCTTAGCCTAAGCCCTGGGACTCAATATTCTTTGAGCAGATTGATTCCTGTGTCCCATTCCTTCCTGCTGGGGTAAACATGGGCTCTGTGAGAAAGGTTACACCATCGATGTCGATGATGGCCGTTGCGGTTCCGACAAAGGTGGTGTCCGGAGAACTTGTGAAGCTTGCAGGGGCCATTTCTTGCTTGGTCTTATAGCAGAAGGAAGCGAGTGCCGACTCTCGAAAGTTCATGTGGAAATAGAATGATGCTCTGGGTGTTTCATAAAGTCACCGAGTATGCGGCAGGCGCTGGTGTTTATACAGAATATAGTAGTCATTTCCCGGAGGAGCTTCGCACAAGCGCCGCACCCTCTTAAATAGTTGTAAGCTTTGCATAACAGGACGCTCGGGGACTATGCGCTCTTTCTTGCGATATTCAAAAATGACTGTCGTGATGATATCGTGCATTCGTAAATGGTTTGGTCTGTAGCTTGAGCTGACTCAATTGACAAATACTGTTAACCAAACACGGTTAGTGGGTGGCCAACTCATGCATGTCTCTAATGCGGAGTGCCATGTGGGATTCCGACTACATTCTATGCGCGGAGTGACGGATGTCTCAGGGTTCATCTCGTTTCATTACAATTATGGCTGAAAACGTTGGTTACTGATCGACAGAACTTTATCTGGCCTAGTGATGTCCTCGAGCTGTGGATAACGTCATGAAAGTCAAGCAGAAGTCAGTATGCGGAAACTGTAGACAGAGGAAATTAGGGGTGAGATTCGCATGGTCTCTTAATGGATTCAAGCAAATGCTATAGCTCTTATCTTTTAGTGCGATGGGAAGCACCCGGAATGCAGCCAATGCACACTTACTGGGCGCAAGTGTCCAGGTTACCCGCAGGAGTGGACGTTCGTCCAGCAGAGCATACCTTCAACTGAGGCATTGCACCAAAATCAGTTCTCGCAGAATGGAGCTACTGGCGCGTCACATTCGTGCCAAGAATCAGTCAAGAGTACCCCTCCGCGGCAGATTTCGCATGACGCCACTGCTCAGCATAGTTTCGCTGCTGTAAAGATTCCGGATATCATTTCAGCTTCACCGGAAGAGCTGGCCTTTATTGTGGTCGAAAACTACATTCCAAAAGATGACCTTCCTTTTCTGTCTCATGGTTCGAATAACAATGGCTCCTCACGAATCTGCGGCTCCTGGGTGGAGGTTCTCCCGCGTCTTGCCAATACCTCGAGCAAGGAAGGCGTTTTCTTTCTCTCGTTGAAAGCGCTGGCTTTTGCGATTGCTTCCAATAAATATCCTCAAAAAGTCTCGAGTCTGAACGCTACAACGGTTTATTCTGCAGCAATTTGTGCATTGAGAAGGCAGTTGGCGGCCGTAAGCCAGCCATTCAATGCAGAACTAGCCGCCTCTATCATGTGTCTGAGCTTAGCTGAGGTGAGAATCTTTTATTTCAGAAGGGTACCAGAGCGGTGCTGATCAGGAAATATTCATATATAGGGCATGTTTCCAGGAATGGGACCGGGAATTTCAACCCACATCAAGGGTGTGGGTCAATTGATGAAAGCCCATGGACCTAATCATTACCAGGCCGGGTTGCTGCACAAGCTCTTCGTAGGGTTCCGACCTCTCCTGGTTAGTATGATTCATGGTTAGTTGTCTAGATAGAGATTATCAGAGGTCTGACGCACGTTAAGGTCCTCGACGCATTTCGCTTTCGCGAGCCAACCTTTCTTGCTGAGAAGCAATGGGCATCTATACCCTTTGCATTTTCTAACACATCACTCATGCAGGACTTCTTGAGTGAAGTCGCAATTATGCCGAATTACTTGAACGCTGTTGACCAACTCATGGCCAACCCAGACGACGGCTCAGCTGACAATGTCACCGAAGTTTGTTTCGCTTTTGTGGAGTGTATCGATCGACTTGAGCAATGGGAGCAAATGTTGCAGCGCGAAGAAGGGGCCCCATACGAGATATCGGCCGGAGTACACGCAGCACAGGCGATTAACCCTGGCATTACAGGCCACACTCTCTGGTATCCGAGCGTTACCACAGCGAATGTGTGCACCCACCTCTGGGCTATTCGCATCGTTTGTCTCAAGGAGATTGACAAACTCAGGGCGACTTTTAGCAGTATTGTGGAAGCCTGTATACCTGCAAAGTTCTGCAGTGTGGAATACCAGCAGAACCAGGTTCTTACTCTCTCGAAGCTGATCTGCCACAGTATGGAGTACCTGCTACAGGATGACTTGAAATTCTTCGGACCGGCTTCCACTCTTTTTCCTCTCAAGGTGGCTTATGATTCATTCAGAGAGCGTGGGAGGGGTCAGGAGGGATATATCAAGTTCTGTAAGTCTGTTGTCAGTCGACTTGACGCGAAGGGGCTGCGCTCGATACCTGCTTTAATCTACGCGCAATGAAGGACGCTACAATTTCTAGGAAGTCGTTTTACTGTTTAGTTTGGCGTTGCCTTGTTTATTCCCTGTCGATAAATAACAGTACATTAAACCACAAACGCTGAAAAGTCATAAACATTCAAGAGTTCGATAGTGTACGGCAGCAAAAGGCAGACCACCAGTTTGAGTCTTGCTTGTATGCTTTGTTTGCATCCCCAGACCCATTCACCAAATCACCAGAGCATTAGCTCCAAGGACCAAAACACATAACCCAAGCATCAATTGTCACCTGCTTCCTGTAGAATGGCTCTTGAAAATGACGCGGTAGCCGGAGCCACAATTGAGCTTCTCGAAGCTCGCCTCCAAAGACTCACCTACCTCCTCACAGGCGATGCAAGCTGGACGGGCACTCCCACGGCGCCCGCCAAACCAGCCTCCCTCGACGACACAGTCTCGCGGCGCCTCCTACGTCTAGAAAAGGATCTCGAGAACCTCAGCAGGAATATCCCCTCCGTACGAGATGTTCTACAGCTCCGTGAGCATTCCTCCTCTCTATCTTGCAGATGAACCAAACTAACAGGACCGGATTCAGATGATCGCTTCCCTGACCTCTTCCGCCCGACACCTCCGCAGTCCGTCCCGGAGAACCTGACGACCCAGAACCTCGCCTCGATTGTCCTTTCGTACGCGTCCGCATTCCCTGAGACCGCGTCCAGACTCACTTCGTTAAATGACCTGCCTGTCCCGGACGCCCAGGCGTCGGCGGCTCTCGTCCAACTGCAGCCGCGCCTGGATCAATTGGCTCGTACCCAGGACGAACAGGCGAGGCAGATATCTGAGCTTCGCGTGCGGACTGCGCGGGTGTTGCAGCGCTGGTATGAAGTTGGGCTGGTGGGAAGCGGCGAGTGCTGGGCTGAGTGGGAGGGACGGCTGGAGGATGTAGAGCGGGAGGTGAAGAGGGAGGAGGTGGTGAGGGAGAGAAGGGCGAGAGAGATATGAGGCTGATTGTGTATGGTTTCTTTTGCGGCTTGAGTTTTGACTTTCTATGATACCATTCTGTTTTCTGCTGGTTGGACTTTTTTGTGTTGTAAGCTGGTTGGTTTCTACAAGTCGAATGCGGAGCTCATGTCGATAGATTCGGGCCGTCAGTTGAACGTTTTACATTCTTCTGCTGGTGCATTTTATTTACTCATACTGCGACCAAGACACACTAAAATGTCCGCTGAGAAAAGGTAGCAAGATCTCTTCGAGACATGAGGGAATGAAAAGGTGCTGTCCTTGGTAAAGGGAGCGAGGCTGAATGCCACTGTCAACCGTTAAGTCTTCAAAAAAAGTTTGAAGGTTTGAGCTACCTGGCCTATACTTTCAGTCTTACTCGCCGTGGTACGTTTTGTGGTGTAGTCATTGAGAGAGCTTCGACTTTCTCCTATCCCACGGTTTTGATATCAGAAGCTCGCTATGACGTGTCGATGAATGCAGGCAGAAAATAATGTCGCCGCTGGTACCTCTATTAAAAATGGAATAGAGGTGATTGTTTCGTAGCTACATGCATCAGTCTCCTTCTGTCCAATCCTAAGACAACATAATAAATCCTTGGGTAAAATGAAGATATATATCCCGCATACATCTACAGGATCCGGAGTTCAAGGTCCAAGGTCCATGCCTGCTTCCCTTTAGAACGGAGAACAAGTGCCCCAGACACCTGCCGAAAGCAGCATCATTTCCTACCCTCCATTTCAGGGTCGCGCTTTTTCGTCCGTTACGTATGCCCACATCCATGGTTTTGGACGTGGTTGGCTCACGTCATAGAACAGCTCAAGTACTACGATATGAGAGATATGCTACAGCGGGTCTAGGTCAGAGTGAATTCACGTCCCGTTAGTCAACCATACTATCTGAAGAACCAGGCCATTATGTTTGAAGAACAATTGCAGCAGTACTGTATGTAGTAACTACCTAGCGATTGCCAAGGAGCCCAACAAGGTGGCAGAGATGCTTGGCCGTACCTTGACTGCCCATTGGGTCCCAGGGTCCAAAATTCCAGTCCTCTTGATGATCCCTCAACGGCCTTTGCTCGGCTTGATACTTGACCTTTCCCTCTTATTTAATTGAGACTTATGAAGCAAAGTAGGGGACATCCGCATCTCCCAGTCGCACTTCAGATGCCTGCAATTGGCCACTGTGGCAGTTACACTGCCCTACTAGAGTACGACTTTCAGGTGTGCGGGCATCAATTTCAGGTATCCAGGGTCTCCAAGCTTTGAGCCGTTTACAGACTACCATAGGAACTCCACAGACGGACCAGTTGCCACAAAGCTTACTACTCCCATAGACCAATCCATATCCCGGAGAACTCGACTGCCTATCATACGCCGCGGGTCGCGCCTCTGAATGGAGGGTTCTCTGAATGGAGTACGGTCATATAAGAATTGATTCGCGCCCGCCACCCTAAAAGTGTCACATATGTCAGTCACCGGTCGTGAATTACACCTCGGATTTCAACGAAGCTCGATCCTGGTTTTGCTATTTGTAGAGCAGTCAATTTCTCATCTTTATTCCATGCCGACAAAGGAAACGGGGGAGAAGCGATGCAAGCGTTGTACGCTGAAGCAGGAAGCCACGAAGAAAACCCTCCTGGTGGATGAGATCAGTGAAATCCTGAGTCGTCAGCTTGATTATCCGACAAATACTGTGGATATTTCATCTGTTAGCATCAGTAGCGGTAGCAGCTACACTCTCCATGATGCTGTCCAGGGTGAAGAATGTGTGCCACGGATAAAAAGCGCCAAGCTGCATGGCTGGCGGCACTCTGTATCCACCCCCAGCAAACAACCTATATCAAGACCAACTTCGCAAAGCACACGTCAGGCATCTGCGGCTATATTCACACTTGAAGATCTCGCAGCTGTTCGTGCCATCGAGAAATTAGCGACAAGGTACGGGCGGGTCTCCCATATGAGTGTTCTCGACCCTAGGTACAAATTCTTCGTGAATAGAGCGCGCACTGCTGCCCTGTCGTTCAAAGTGCATAACAAGGTTGCTCTGGTCATGGGCGATCCCCTGTGCGAGCCGGGCTGGTTCGCCAATGTCCTCGCAGAGTTCAAGGAGTACCGGAGGAGACTCGGCTGGAGTATCGCTTTCATCGGTGCCAGCGAGGTGTTTACCGAATACGCTAAGGAACATGGATGGACGACCATCCAATTCGGCACCGAGCGCGTGCTCAATCCCATGACCAATGATGTATTGAACGAGAGAGCGGGGAAACGCATCATCGTACAAAGCAAGCAACTGCTCAATCCGAGCAAAGCCAACATCTCTTTGGGTTTATACGTACCGGCGCAGGGTGAGGATCTGGATGTGCAGAGGGAACTGGTTAGGGTTTATGACTCATGGCGCGAGAAGCGAAATCGTGCTGCCGGCGCAAAGGCTTTCATCACGGTGTATGACCCTTTTTCAATGCCAGCCTTGATGATGTACATCTACACCAGAGGCCCAGATGGTGTAGCCAACGGCTTCGCGGCTATCCGACGTCTTGGTGCCAACCAAGGATACCACATTGACCCTTGCATTGCAGCTCCTGGAGCGCCCAGAGGGATCACCGATCTGTTAATCGTTGCTGCCATGGCGCTCTTGCACTCAATGAGAGTTTCGTACCTCAGCCTTGGGTTTGAACCCTCGGAAACACTGGCTGACATAACCCGACTGTCGCCTCCGATCGAGAAGATCACCCGAGCGATATACAAGCGTACATTCAAACAAATGCTTTTTCAGGGAAAACAGATGTTTCACGAAAAGTTCAAGCCGGATGGCTCCCAGGGATCACCGCTTTTCGTCCTTTTCCCCGCTGGTGCTCCCAGTCTACGACAGTTGGTCGCTCTTTACCGAATGTCGAATATCAGCATTCGAAAGCTTGTTTTCGCAAGGTTCGGAAAGAACTCGGATATGCTTATGCCTGTCAAGCAAAAGATCGAAGAACAAAGGCTTGGGATGGATCGTCCAAAGTGAAATGGTATTTCAGTGGTTGCGTTCGATAACCAACGCACAAGGTTGCTGACAGTTTCGCTGAAAAGTCTCCAGGCGATCTATCGTTGGGTTTCGCATTCAACTCGTCTGCGAGTATCAACAGGCACGATTTCACAGCGATCATCGGAGCGGGATCAACGAGCCGTGCTGTCCGGACTGTCCGGCATCCAGTCAATGCACAGAGTTCCCTTGTAGAATCTAGAACATGTAGTATGGAAGACGACGATCATGCTGAAATCTCGGGTGGTTTGACCCATCATGATGATATCTAATGTCAGAGTCAAATTTCCTCGAAATTAATATGGGTCTAGGGAAGATTGATTCCATTCGCAGTGAGTATGTTTCGTAGATTAACGGATGCTAATCCTTATTTCGTTGCTCCTGTGTCAAGCCACTCGATGGATACCACTGTGCCACATGCATCAGCCTCACAATAAAAAAAAGGTCTAGAACCTTCAGAGCACAAGCAAATGAATTGCACAAAATACAACTGCTGAGGCTGAAACTGGAATGGTTCTTTTACTCCTTTCCTTTTTTTTCCCTTTTTTTCTTTTGCTTGAGAACTTTTGCGTACCTCGGTCGCTAGTAGGACCCATTATTGTTGTGCATGGTGCGATTTTGGCGCAATCCTAAATTTCCAAATTCCAAGATCTCATTTTGATTCATTGCTGGCCCATGGTTCCGACTCAACATTGTTGGTTTCATATTTGATCTGCGAGCCTGTTTTGACTCTAGTTTAGATATCGCAGAGCTACTCCATATATGTATTGCTGGTCTGAAGAATCCTTGACCAAGAAAAAAAATAAAAATTAAAAAAATAAACCAAGTCAGCATACAAGGATAACCGCAACGTCGCAATGACAAGAGGGAAATAACAAAGGATCATTGCCGACGTGCGCTAATAATAACTACAGAAACAATGAGCATTGGTCAATGTCGTTACATCCACTTATTCCACCTACCCCAGCTGCCCCTCTTGGTGCTCCGTCAATTCGCCCATCTTCCAATCAGGTCCTCTCTTCCTCCTCAGTCGTTGGACCTGCCAGGGGGAAATGATACTAATAATCCTGTACGTAGTACCGAGAGGTAGATGAAAGAGAAAAAGGACCAGACCATTGAGACCAGAATCAATTCTCAACTTTCGAGAGTACGAGTCTGTCTGTTTGCCTTGCGGAACGCATTGGCATGGCCCACAAGCAGCATGGTTCCTGGGGATGAGACTCCGTACAGGGCTGCCCTTTAGTCCTTGTACGTACCTAAGTATTGCGACTGCATAGGTACTGTGATCCAAAAGTAAGGGTAGCAGGTAGTCTCATAGGTCTTAATCTGACCCGATGAACTCCGTAGCTGTCTTGCAAAACTCCCAAGGCTCGTATGGTTTATCTAGATCCCATAAAGACAAAGTAGTTGGTCAGTTATTCTACGTTGTTCTCTCGTGTTGACCTGAGATATCTACATAAGTCTCACCCACTTGGTTCCCACTACGGAGAATGTGCTACCGTAGATAGACTAGTCGACTCACTGATCAACTCTCCTTTTCCCGACCGGACACTGGGTCAAGGCTCTGTCTTCCATCCGTTAATCTCCATCTTCATCATCATCACCATCTTCTTATTCTATCATTCTTAGAGACGTACTAGTGTTAACCAATCTTTTCTCACTTCATACTGTCCTTGTTTCTTTGTTTTCCACCTATTTCTTCTTCTTCTTCGACCTCCTCATCGATTGGTTTACACCCGTCGATTTACACTCGTTCCTCACCTTGATTCTTCTATTATCTTTCGATTTTTCTTCCTTTCTTCCCGCTAACGTTTCAAACACCACCTTCGTTCCCTACAGCCAGGTGCTGTTGTTGTCTCTCCGCGTCTCTGCAAGGGGTTCTTGCTTGCTTTCAGTTTCATACCACCAGCCTCATGCTAGATTCGATTGATCTCTAAGTATCGATTTGATTCTCGGTCAATCCTCTCACGCCGACATCTGCACCAGTTTTCGTCATCGTAAGACATACACTCGCTTTTACCTGGATCGTGTCGCAAGGTACGATTACACGTCACCTCATCTTCTTTCCCTCCCTCCCTTGTCATTGACCCGATTCCTGCTGCGTCCATTACAATGTTCTGTAGTCGATGTCTTTTTCTTCTTATGCGCATTTGCATTTCCATTTGCGTTGCGAGTTGTGACTGACTCTTTGCCCAGTCTCATTCTTTTCTACATTCAAGTCCGTCTCTTCACCTAGATCAATAATCATTTTCAATCGATATCGACCTATACCATCTCGACTTCACGAAAGAAATAACGTGTTAGAATATCGGCCTGCTTTTGCCTTGTCGCTTGTGATAGCTGTTGCATCACGACCGAGTCGAATCGAACAAAAATCGAATCCTCCACATCCAACCGCTCGACGACACTGTATATAGCGAATACCGTTCATGCTGGCATATTCGGAGCATTCTCCGTCCTTTCATAAACCGAATCCATATACGGAGCCCCAGAGAAGAATGGCGAAGTTTCGGGCAAGCAATATTTTAGGCGACCCATTTGCGCTCGCGACCATCTCCATCTCGATTGTACGTCGTCCCTAATGCGGGTTATTGGCATGGACACTGGTGACTAGTGACTAATCACATTCTCGATCTTTAGCTTGCGTGGTTGATCGCATTTATCGCATCAATCATCTCGGATATCAAGACGGATTATCCCAATTACTCATGGTGGGCAGTCGCCTACATGTTTTGTTGTATTATCGGGGTCACAACTGTTGTTGGTTCGGACACCGGTCTCACCTATGGGGTAGCGGTATGTTTCTCGACCTCGGCGTGGGATTCTCGGCGCTGATGGGTAACAGGTTGTGGGCTATCTTTCAACAGGCTTAGTGCTGACCACTTTGGCGGTCAATACTCTGGTCTACGAAAGTGAATCCTCGTCGCAAGCTGCAGCTGCCGGATTCATCCTCTTGTCCATGGTCATTGTAGGTTATTCCTGGTTGACCTTCTAGCGGTCGCAGCATTCTGTCGTACTAAACTAACCTTAACAGGTCGTGTGGATATTCTACTTTGGATCGGCTCCTCAAGCTACGCATCGCGGCTTTATCGATTCGTTCGCCCTCAACAAAGAAAGTAGCGGCGCGTACGGAAATCGACCCATGTCTACAGCTTTTGGTCATCGCCCAGAGACAATGTCGACAAGCGCACCCCAGATGTACACTTCCGCCCAACTCAACGGCTTCGAAACGTCATCTCCGGTGTCAGGTTATCCTGGTGGTGCTCCTGGCTCAGAAAACCGCAGCTCCTCCCAGCCTCGTTTCGGCAACCCATCTGCCAGCAACGTTGCTGGGAACAACAACGGTCAGGACGAAGTCCCACAACCAACAGAATACCCGTACAAGGCAAAAGCGATATATTCGTACGATGCCAATCCTGAAGATGCCAACGAAATTAGTTTCAGCAAACATGAAATCTTGGAGGTGTCGGATGTCAGCGGCAGATGGTGGCAGGCCAGAAAATCCAACGGAGAGACCGGTATTGCTCCATCGAATTACCTGATTCTGCTGTGATTCGGTTGGAGCGCACTTTTTTCCCTTTCTTGTTCTTCTGGTCATTCCTACTTTTGTCGCCATTCTGTCGCGAAAAGCTTTCGTATTTGATACCCTTCGAGTAGTATCACTCGGCCCGAGATCTGGTTCCGCGAAAAGATCATGTTATGTCTGATGGTTTCTTTTGGATTCTGCTTATTTGTGGCATCCCATTCTAAGTGGTGCGTTCTCTCAGTCTGCTGGTTTTTCTCCATCTTTTATTTCCATTCAGCGGGCATCTGCGCGCTTACCCTTCATGGTTCTGTCTTCCATTTGTCATGCCTCGGATGTGTTTCCAACGGTTCGATGTGTAGCTGTTTTTTTTTATTTCTTTCCGGTTTCCACCTGCTGTTAGAGAGATGTCGAACTTATTCGTTTGTAGTGGAGAAGCAATATATAGCCATTATGTCCGATAGGTTCAAGATCGCATTGCCGTGGATCCCAGTCCAAATGTCGAGTATTTCGAGATCGTGCTCAGTAGGTGCCACGTGCGCGGGACGTTGCGTCCAGCATCGGAGAATTTCACATAATTTTCGTTCAATGTGATGTAGGGCTCGAAACTTTCACAAGCTTCAGAGGATCAAGAGCAAGTAGGAAATGATATCGACCAGATTGTTCCTCCAAATGAAGTCGTGGAACGCTTCTATGCTTCTCTTGTATTGCTGGGTGTGTCTAGATCGAGGCACCCCCGCCCACTCAGGAAAGACCTGACTAAGTCCCATCTGTAGCGCCCACTGAATCGCTCACAACTCAGAGTCAGGAGTCAGACTTGAAAGGTCAAGGCTCACAGTCTAGCTCCCTAGGCGGCGGGTGGGTGTCTTCTTCTCCAGTGGTTTACCTGTCTAGTCTTAGTTCCCAAGACCAATCTCCAGTTCTCCATTGTCGGATCCCCCAATGAGATGACTCTCCCGCGAGCCGGAACCACACTCTTGCTGCCACGCAAATGGATCCTGCTATGTCTGATGTGCAGTCGTGCAGACCGCATTGGGATGATCTCGATTCTTGATTGTATCGAGAAAAGTTGGAAACTCATCAAAATGCTTGGAGTCGTATACGGCCTCGGTGTCCAGAGCTTGTCTGCTTATCTCTCCAGGGCAGAAGGGATTTTCTTGTCTTCAACTAAGCTTCTGGTGCAGAACTGAACGAAACCACGTAGCTATCTGGCACAGGGCATCGTGATGCTTGCTCTGTTGTGCATTGACCTGCGTTGACATCGGCACTAGATTTGTCCTTCTACTGCAAGGCTGGACAGATTCGCACACTTTTTCATTCTGTTTTTTTGTGGAAGGATGATCGTTGTCCGAGACATATAACCCCGGGCTCATACGTCTTTATTGATCCGAAACTATCCTCTAAGTACTTTGGTGGACAAGTTGTTGGAGTGGAGCTTTATAGTCACTGAAACCCGACTCTATACAAGTATGGCTGATACCGAAAACGTCACGGTGGCATCCAATGTACTAGGGACCATCGGAACGGTTCTCTGGTGCATTCAGCTTATACCGCAAATATGGTATAATTGGCGACAGAAGAAGACGGACGGACTGCCACCGTCTATGATGTTCCTATGGGCTTCTTGTATGTTTGCACTTGGGTCCTCTGGGTTGTTCCGAAGCTCGATAGCTTATTCTTTGAATATAGGCGCTGTGCCCATGGGAGCATACTTGATTCTCCAGGTACAAGTGATTCCATGATCGAGAGGGGCTCGAAATGTTGACTTTCATCCTGCAGAAAGTGAATATACCGCTGCAAATACAGCCGCAGATATTTGGCTTCTTTTCGCTAGTCAGCTGGGGTCAGGTTTTATATTATAATCAGTGGGTAACGCCTTTCACCTTTAGATATGGTTCAGGGCTGACATTGTCCCTTAGCAACTATAGCCAAGTCAAGGCAATCTCCTTGGTAATTGGCACAGCAGCACTGTTCGGTGGTATTGAGGCGTTGCTGATTCTCACATTGCGAGTACGTCTGCGTAATGCACCCGTTAAGGCTCCTTCGCTGGAATACATACTTATCGTCGCGTAGATACCCTACAATAAAGGTGTGACCTGGCCGGATATTGTCGTTGGCGTCGTTGCTGCTGTTCTGCTGGCGTCGGGGCTTATACCGCCGTACTTTGAGCTATGGAAGCGAGACGGGCGAGTGATTGGTTTTAGTAAGTGGTCCAAAGGGTTTCTGGGTGGACACACTTTAATTACTGCGTCACAGATTGGCTCTTTTTGTCCATTGATACTTTGGGAGGACTTTTTTCTCTTTTTGCATTAGGTATGCTGCTTATTCGTCCAAGGCGGAGGATGGAAGCTGACTGCTCGAAGCCGCGCAGGGCACATTTGATATCCTCGGAGGAGTCATGTACATCATAGTGTAAGTTTACACCCGTTTAGGTGCATTGGCTGTTATGAATGAGTAGTGACCTTGATGCGATAGGGTCGTCCTGGAAGCCGGCATCTACGTGAGCCATATAGTTTGGCGCATTCGATACCGGAAATTGCGAAAAGAAGCCAAAGCTGCTGGTTTGAGCATTGACGAGATGTTAAGTATGCACAGGAGTGAGTCTGAGCAGGTGAATGATACTGAGAAGAGGCCTTGCGATATTGAGAGTCAGATTGCGGTGGACCAACGGCGAGGTTCAGTCGAAGTTGTAGAGCAGCCTGAGTTGAATGAGAACGCATAACTGAGTGGAAGTGGGTTGAGGAGCGTCATCTAGATAGCTACAGAAATAGAGAGGATAAAAGAACATTGGAAATTGGAAATTGCCCAAATACTCTCCATCTGGAACTTCAATGTGCATCAAGAAATAAAATTTATATAGACCGAGGTTCAAGTCGATGTCGCCTAGTACATAGGTAAGTCGAGCTACCTACCTATTAGTAGTTACCCTAGGTATTCAGGTAAGATCGGCGATTGTTAAACAGCACTGTTATATTGAGCCCATCAAATCAACTGGTGCCATGATGTTTTTCGGTACACTTGGTAGCTGTAAACCGTTGGATAATGTCAGGAATATGGTCCAAGCGCGCTCTCTCCTGTCCGTGATTTTGTTTTTCAGTTGTCATATCACTGGATCCCTGCTCAGGTAAATTAGAGGCATACAAGGTAGATAGATCGTATCTACTTGTTTCTGTCTTTTATTTCTCCAACTTTCCCGTTTCTTCCGCCTACATCTGTATGTTCTAGTAGTTCTCTATACACGAGCTTCAGGCCCCAAGCTCCCTTTTTATTTACTTCTTCTGCCTCTCCAACCATCTCCTTTCCCCTCAACCCAACCACAGTTCTCCAAGCCTCTCAGCTCCTGAGGTGGTTGGTTCCACGGATCGAATATGAAGAGCTGATAACAAAGAAAGAAAAGAAGAAAATAAGCTTCCTGTCGCTCTTCAAAGCTCCTTCCTTCAACTGCACTTGCAGACCGCTGAGCTGCTGCTACTGCTGCTGCTTCGATAGAAGACAATATTACTGTACGACTGCAGAGAATGAGGTGACAACGCAGTGCTCTTTTCCTTTTTCTCTTTTGTTTTTTCCTTTTCCTTGTTGTCGTCTGTGTTCTAGACTTTCTCTCTCGGTTGTCTCCCCTTTCTTTTTCTTCCTGCCTGTCTGTCATTTTTTCCATCTCTCTTTTTAGTGCAATAATATTTGATAGCCGAGCTATCAGACATTACTGTGGTGGATCGTCATCATGCCTGAGCGCCGGCTGTCGCAGCTGCTCAAGTCGAAGCTTCTGCGGCGATCATCGAGCACGGCTACGACCTATCCAAAACAGAACCAGAAACCCGTTAACGTTCAGAAAAAGGCGGCCGCCAGAGCGGATCCGCCAGTCGACCCCAACTCAACCTCCGACCTTTCCTGTTCCCTACCTCCTCATCTCTTGACCCCTAACGAAGGAGAAGGGGATGCCAAATCCCGCGCCTACAGCATAGTTTCCTCCATACCCCTCGATCATCCCAGTACCCCCGGCGAGATTCCTGGTCCTGCCACTGGTTCCTCAGCGGGCTGCGATCAGTACTTCACCCACTTTGACCGATCGGGCGCAAACTCACATCAAGAAGGATCACAGAACAGTTCGATTCAGCAGTCTCCGACATTCGTGAGGAGTCTTCGGCACAAGCAGCCGACCGAAGGAAAAGACATAGGGAAGTCACAATCGCCAGAGGGAGATCAAGAAGGCCAGTACGGCTACGAACGTATCCGGAACGACTCCGATCCTCAGTACAGCTTGACCGCAGAGCTTGCCAATAAGCCCTCTCCACCACAGACTCCCGTTGGCGACGATTCGCTACATTCAGCGTCGGCGACCCCTCCTCCACATTCGGCTTCGCTGCCAGGGCCCGCTGGCGCAAGCTCGCTTCAAGCTGCCTACCGACCAGTTCGAGAAAGTCCCAGCGTGCCACCACTCGAATCTCAATTGACTCCGTCCTTGGATGCTGTCGCCGAGGACTCTTCTGAAGAATCTGCCTCCCGTTTCGTCGGTCCTCCGTCGTCGTCCCCGTTTCCGAAGCGCCCCACCATTGGGGTTCGCCGTCAGTCGCTTCTTCCAGCCTCACATCAACACTTGATCAGCGGTCTTTTGGGTTTTGGGCCTTCTCATAACCTCGGCCAGAGCAGCGGTCACCCTGCCACAGTCAACGCTGAGATGATTCCTCGAAAAATCTGGGTCAAACGGCCTGGGGGCTCGGCCACCCTGGTACCGACCATGGAAGATTCGCTTGTCGACGAGCTGCGCGATCAAGTTATCATGAAGTACGCCAACTCTTTGGGGAAAGCATTTGATTCACCTGATATCATGATCCGCATTTCTCCTCGAGAAGGTTCCAACCGACAGTCTACGCCCGAGCGGATACTGAGTCCTGAGGAACCGTTAGGTGTGGTCATTGACACGTACTTTCCTGGTGGTCAGACGGTGGACGAAGCGTTGGTCATAGATATCCCTCAACGGCGAACGCCGAAGCCCTCCCCCCGCCATCCTGTATATTATCACCATTCGGAACCGGGCGAGCATGGAGAGTACTTTCCGCTCATGCCTGCAAACCCAAATGCCCCGACGCCCCCCACTCATCCGTCGGCCTCATCTACGAGCGTGAACGCCCATACGGCACCCTCAATATCTATTCTCACCACTGGTATGGCGCCTCCGCTACCCTCACCAGGCAATAGAGCAAACCGACATTCCCGCCGGCCACCACTCACTCGACATACTACCAACTCCCCCACAATGCTTGGTACAGCGCCAATTGCAAAAGGTACGCGTGGACCCTTACTGTTCTTCTTTAGACCGTTAAGATATCGTTTCTTACTGATTAGATGTAGACTCTAGTATGGCTTCGGGTCCTCAACCTCCCGCAACAGCGCCCCAAGTCCCTACGCCGCCTGGTCCTCCTCCCGAATCGCCTCAGACCAAAACCCACACGCCTCCAGCGCGTGTTTCCTCACCGCGCCCGCGTCCCACAAAACCGAAGAAGGCCGGCAACGGCCAATCGCCAAACGCTGCCTTTGGCGGCCTTATTGAAGGCACCGTTCCTCCCATCAACGTCCTCATTGTCGAAGACAATATCATCAACCAGAAGCTCCTGGAAGCTTTCATGAAGCGGCTCAGCGTCCGTTGGAAGTGCGCTGCAAACGGCGAGGAGGCGGTGAGGAAATGGCGCCAGGGTGGGTTTCACTTGGTCCTGATGGATATCCAACTCCCCGTCATGAACGGGTTAGATGCGACCAAGGAGATTCGAAGACTCGAGCGCCTGAACGGGATCGGTGTCTTCACCAAGACTGCCTCGGGACGATCGAGTGCCAGCTCTCTGTCGCCGGAAGTGAACCAAGCATCATCTGAGGTTTCGCTGTCGGAGGAGGACACTCTTCATGACTTGTCTCTGTTCAAGAGTCCCGTTATCATTGTTGCTCTGACCGCCAGTAGTTTGCAGAGCGATCGGCATGAGGCTCTGGCTGCTGGCTGCAATGACTTTTTGACCAAGGTATGTCATTTTGGACGCTTTGCGCATCTCGTTCCGGGTTAATGGCTGACTTTCTCCGTTTCTTTTTAGCCCGTTGGATTTCCTTGGTTGGAGCAGAAGGTGACTGAATGGGGCTGCATGCAAGCTCTGATTGACTTTGAAGGCTGGCGGAAATGGCGAGGATTTGCCGACGAACCCCAGTCATCTTCTCCCACCGATGGAGGTCTCACCAGCCCTCTGCAGACGGGCGCTAATGGCGTGTCCAGCAGAAACTCGACCTCCTCGTCATCTGGAGCAGTCAACGCGACGGCCCGGGAGCTCGACGCAGGTCCTGGTGCGGGCAAACGCAAGTCCACCGTTCCCGAATTGACCAAGCCCGTGGATATCCTTCCTGAGGAACCTCCGGGAAGTGGTAGTGGCGAGGGCAACGAGACTCTGGATTCACCGGCCAGTCCGCTTGAGTCCGTTCACGTCGGTGACCCAACTGAACCTTCTAACGATGAGGAGCACCAAGCTCTGGATGCTACGTAGCCAGTTGCACCCTCTGCAACTCAGGCCTCAACGTCTCCCTTTGATACCATTATACTCACGCGATTTGTACGAGGAGAGTTCCTCTGTTAGATATTACACATTGTTACCTCCAGTCTCTTACACGTCCCGCTTTTCTGTATCTTCCATTGGATACCCAGCATAGCCATTACTCCTTTCATCATATGTGATGCCCATACCTTATTGGTCCGTCCATTCCCAGTGTTTACCACAAACATCTCCTTTGTTGAGCGGCATAAATCCTCGATTGTATATACTACCACTGTTTTAGCGACATGCTCTCGCATACGAAAGGAGATGTCTTGTTCTGTGTTTCTTGTTTTGTGAATCCATGCATCACCGCATTGTTATTCGCATACTCTGTTGTTATTAGTTAGCCTAGGGTCTCTACCGGCATTGACGTGCTGATACCGGCGATTGGTAATGCGATTGACTAATGAGTCTAGCTGCATACGTTTGTACCTAGTACTATACTTGATCATTCAGCTGTAACCAGAGTGGTCGGGGTTGACGTTTGCAAAACCGAATGAGTCGAAAGTACGCATATGTACCCTTGGGAGTTAAACTCGGAGCTCATGGTTGGTATTGATATTGTTAAAACATGGCAGAATATAAGTACAATGCTAATGCTCGACAAACCCGTCACGAAATATTTGTACAGTACATTACGTCCCTGACCGAGAGCAGCTCATGAATGCAGAAGCAGAACGAGACCTTCCCTCATCATATATGGATCAACGGTGTCAGAAATAGTTGGCTTAGACCTCCACGCGAGTAGGGATTTTGATCTGTCCCTTCTTGCGGTCGTACGTAGGCACACCGTATCTCCGACCGGGAGCCCGGCCACCACGCCCATCCGTGCCCGTGGTCTCGCGACTGACAACGACATCCTTGATGCGGAACTCGAACCGCGAGGAATCAGGCTGCACGCGGACAAGCCGTTGCTCGGCGCGCTCCTTGGCGAGTCTCTTGCGTTCCTGCTCGATCTTTTCCTCCCGCTGGAGCCGCTCACGGTAGAGCTTCATGTTCTCGCGGAACTCGTTGGGGTTCGACCGCATCTGGCGCTCGTGGGCAACCAGGTGCGGGTGCGGGATGCGCACGTCCGCGGGCTGGAGGACCTGCTGCTCGTCGTCGCCCTTGCCGACTCGCTCGATGTGGGATGGGTCCTGTGTGATCTTGCTGATGG